TGGCAATCCGCCTCAAATTACCTCCAGCGTACAGGAGAATTCATCCCGTGTTCCATGTATCCAAAGTAAAGCCCGTTTTTCATACGGCAATTAATCCGCACACCCCAGTTCCCCCCCCGCCGCGTCTCGTAGATGGGGAGACTGCTTATTCGGTTAAGCGCATTCTGGACTCTAGACGGAGGGGACGAGGATTTCAGTACTTGGTGGACTGGGAAGGTTACGGTCCGGAGGAGAGAAGTTGGGTTCCGGCCGGGGACATACTGGACCACTCTCTTATCGATGATTACAATCGCCAGGTAGGCTCGCCTGGGGACGCCAGGAGGCGTCCCTAGGGGAGAGGGTAATGTCACGGTTGTGGATCCATCTGCTCCTTATTTGAAGTGTCTGCGTTGTGTGACAGTTCAGTATCATGATGTGTGTTTAAGTATGTGTGCTTTTTCTCTCTGTGTTTGTGTGGGTGTCGCGTGGCTGTCAGTGGGTGTTTGTTTTCATGTCATCAGCTAAGCGGTCACATGATCTTTTGTTACCGGAACTGTTGCGTAGCGCGCTCGGCTGATAATCAGCGCGCTACAGGTGTAGCGCATTTTATGTGCCTATAAATGATCAGCGTTCCTGTCTCACTTTGTCAGTTCGTTGTTTGTTCACGGTGTTTTGTGTTTTTGTCAGGCTCCTCCCGTTGAGATCGCTGGTGGTGAGTGGTTTGGTTGATTCCTTGTTGCTGTCTCTGATGAGCCCTCTTCCTGCTACGCTGAGTGTTTTTCTGCTCTGTTGATGACTTCATCGGAGACATTGCTGTTTCTCTACGACGAATGTTTGATCTACTCTGTTGATGAGTTTATGAACATTTATCCGGCGTTGCCGAGACGGACCATCTCTTTAATTACTACTACAGTTTCCTCACTTCCAACCACTCACCATTTTCCCTGTTTTGCTTAGTCAAGCAATAAAGACTTTTTTACTTGCATTTGGGTTCCACGTCTTGTTTACTGTCACACTTTCATGATGTGATCAGTGCAAGGTACAAATAAAAGAGAGAAAAACACCGTGTAACCACACCCCCCCTCCCCCCACCCATGTCACAACCCACATTGAACAAAACCTGTCTGCTGGTCTACAAACAACCATAACTCACCAGCTTGTGTTTCTGCTCCAATAGGACTAATTTTTTACAAATAACAGAAACAAGGGACATTTGAACTTGAACTTATACAGAGTGTGTGACAGAATAAACCTAAATTTAAGTGAACTTAAAGTTAGTCTTTCCAGCTCTCCATCCTCTGGAACGATTAGGTATATTTAACTCTCCGCTGAGACTGAATGAGTAAAAAACAAATAAATACCCATTTCCTACCACGATGTGGCTCTACTCATTTGGTGACGGGGGAAGAATTCCTTTAACAAATCCCATATCCTGCTGCGGACAGTCAAAGAAATGTCTCGTTGCGTTGTGATTTATTCGTAGCCGTGCAGGGAAGAGCAAGCCGAATTCAGTGCCCGCGCCTCTGAGTTGAACCTTGACCGAGTTAAACACCGCTCTCCATTTCGCTACCTCAGCGCTGACATCGGGGTAAAAGTGAATGCGCGTTCCTTTGTACAACACATGTCCCTTTTCCCTGGCCAAACAAACAATTAATTCCCCTGATTGGTAGTGATGCATTCGCACGATGAAGGGCCTGTTGGCTTAATTAGGTTTCGGCGGGGGTGCTAGAGAACGATGGGCTCTATCCACCTCCGGTTTTCTGGTAAAGTTTTGCTCTTCGAAAACCTCGAGTAACATAGTTTCAATAAATGCAGACGGATGTGTCCCCTCGGTGCCTTCGGGAATGCCAATCACACGTATGTTGTTCCTCCTGGATCTTTTCTCCAAGTGATCAAGTTATGCCTTTAATTTTTCATTTTCTTTCGACAGCACTGAACACATAGATTCCAGGGCAGTAATGCGGCCGTCAACATCGGAAAGTTTTTCTTCCACATCCTTCAGTGTCTGTTCTTGCTCTAATAGTGATGTTTTTACCGCGGAGATGGATGATTTAAGTTTAGGGAGGATTTCCACTCTGAGCGCGGCTACCTCAGATCTAATTCCGCCGAGGAGTTCTCTGATATCTCCCTGGTCCGACCTGGCGCCGTCACCACTCTGCGTGTTGCTCACATCCTCGGTAATATCAGCTGCTTTTTTAGGATTTAGAATTTTAGAATCTCAGCATGTTGTTTACTTCGATTTAACGATCGAAAATGGGATTTTCAAGTCACTTCACTCAATAAGTGCAAATAAGTCATTTAATACTAATAAATGCACAGAGCAGAAAACTTTCCGACCTCTCACGCTGCCATCTGTACTCCTCCTATATATGAATCTCTAATCTTATTTTATAGGTTCAACATTGCTGTAAATATTCTTCAGAGACCTCTCAGATTTCATCTAAGTTGTTTACCTTTTATAAATCTTCCTTCAACACACTCGTGCTCAGAGAATCTGCACAGATATCTTCAGCTCCAGTGGTTTGTGTGTCGTCTTCAGGACACGCCCACAGTCAGGAGAATCTCATGAATATTCATGTCAGTGTCACTCAGTGCAGCCAATAATATTTCAGGATATACCTGTAGATCACACAGGTGTGTTTTAGTGAAGTGAAAGAGTGAAAGAGCTCAGATTGTGTTCCTGCTGCACAAGAGCGTCTGTACTTCTGCATGTGAGTTTAACACTTCTACATTACGCTGATTTGTGGAGATGATGAAGGGTTTATATGTGTGAGTGTGATTTAAATGTCTGATCCTGAAGATCAAATCCTCCAACACAGATTAAACACTGAGTCAAACACGCTCATTTAAACACTGTGTCTAAAAGCTTTATTTTTAATCCCTTTACAGTGTTTGTGCTCTTCTATATCAGACTGACTCAATAGTGTCCAATAATTCAGCATTAAATATAACTCTAAACATTCAGAGTCACCAAATCAAAAGTAAAGTTAAAGCAGACCTTCCAGTTGAACAGGAAGAAAAGCTGCTGAAAACAACAAGCTGACGATCCTTAAACAACACTGCATTTAACCCTTTACTGTCAGAGTAACTCATTAACCAAAGAGCCTCTTTAGTAGAGAGACATTTTAATACTCACTAAATCAACAATTGGCTGAACCTGAACTTCTCTTGATAAACTCTATATAACATGCATTTACCTTAAATCAAATGTGAAACAGCTGAGATGTCAGATCAGGGTTAAACCAACTGCATTCATGTTAAGGACTATATATATATATATGTGTGTGTGTGTGTGTGTGTGTGTGTGTGTATGATTGTTTGCTGAAAGCTCTGCTAATGTCTGCATTGGTGTTTTAGCTGCAGTATGGCAGAGGAGCGAGTAAAGGACTCTCTCTCAGAGAAACACAGGTATTGACTCTGTTTTTACACCATTATTTCAACATGATAACAGACAGATCTTCAGTCAACTATTAGTCTGTGCTGAATTAAACTGAACAAACTCATATTGTCTGATAAACTCTTGTAAAGGAGACTGAAGATTCTCCTGCAGTATATTCCTCTGGTGTGTTTGTGTGTTCAGTGTGAGATCAGGATCATGTGTGTCCAGCTCTGTGTCTCTGAAGAGTGACCGGTCTAAAGATCCTCCACCAGGGTTCAGTGGGGAAAGAGCATCATCTGCTCAAAGGTATTGTGTGTTTTACATTATTGCTCACACATGGTGTAAAGCATCAATTCAGTAGAGAGAGTCATTTCTGAATAAATCAGTTGTTTAAATTAATCAAATGACTTTAGAGATTCATGAAGACATTTACAGACACCTGGCGTCTTATTCAGAGGATATTTCAGTCAATATTAATATCAGATTTCTGTCAATTATTTCATTTGTGGAGCATGAAAGATGTTTTGAAGAAGTTTATAACTAAACTGTTGTGTAAATATATCTAAATAAAGGTGAAGCTTTTGAAGGTAAATGTAGCTGTGTTGTTTTGTGGCTAAAAATGTGTGTAATAATGAACTATAAATCAAACTTTCAAAGCTACTTTCTAATAATGACTTTGTGGTTGACAGGGCTTTCTAATGACAGAGACAATTGACTGTGATTTCTCAGCTAAATATAACTGAAAACTCAAGTAACAAATCTGTCCACTGTCTCCTTATTATGAGCACTACATGTATTATTTTCAGTGTTTGTAAGATATATCTGTATGTGTTTGCCTGTAAATGTGTAATTACAGTAGTTTTATCTGTTAACAGTGTTGAATATGAGTCAGATTCAGGAGACGAGACTCACAGGAGACACAAGAGCTTCACAGACAATCTCCAGTCCATCTTCCAGGTGGGAAAAACTCATTTATTATAAACAAATAAAATAAAAACAGTTATTTACAAATATACTGCTTAATTCAAATGTCGAGCAATTAATTTATTAAGGAATAATTGACTTCAGTTCATTGAATTATTATAAAATAATGCACAACTGTGATACTCGTGGAGTCTCCGTTACACCTCTGTGTGCATTATTTTCTAATAAATGAACAGATTAGTCAATTATTCTGCAAATCCCACCAAGTCATTTTTTATGTAATTGATGTCTAAATGAGGATGGCTTGACTAAAGGCTGAGTTTGTGCTTTTGGTGAAAATCTAACAGTAGTCCAAATCTAGACTAGTCATCAATACAAAGATTATACAGACTTCACACATGTAGTCATTCTGTATCTGTGAAATAATGAACATCATTCAGCATTCATAAATGTGCTCAATGCCTGTCTGAACCTACTCCATCTGAAAACAACTGCACACCCTATAAAGCACAGTCCTGTAGTATAATGTTGTATAATGTATTTTCAATTGTTCAGTTGTTTGTGCATGTTCTCTTTTCTTCACTCATAGAATCTTGAGAGTAAAATGATCAGATTTCTGAAGAATGAATTGGAGAAATTTAAGAAAATCTTAAAAGAAGAAAACAGACAAGAGTTTGTGAAGGAGTTTAATGAGAACAGAAGCATTATCACAGAAGCAGCTCTTGATCTCACACTCTTGTTCCTGAGAGAGATGAAGCAAGATCAAGCTGCTGATACTCTCCAGGGTAGGAGACTCATGGCCATCTGTCAAACTGATACTTACTAATATAGCTGGAAAAGTCAAGACTAAATCTCTCTGTTTCTTTGCTCCTGTGTTTAGGCGAGCTGCTCTTCAATAATCAGCTTAAATGTAGCCTGAAGAAGAAATATCAAAGTGTGTTTGAAGGAATTGCTCAGCAAGGAGACTCCACACTTCTGAATAACATCTACACAGATCTCTATATCACTCAGGGTGCGAGTGAACAGGTCAACACTGAACATGAGATCAGACAGATTGAAGCTGCTTCCAGACGTCATCAGTCACTAGAGATACAGGTTGAATGCAAACATTTGTTTGAAGCAGCTGAACAAGACGAGCGGATCAGAACTGTCCTGACAAAAGGAGTTGCTGGCATCGGGAAATCAGTCTCTGTGCAAAAGTTTGTTCTGGATTGGGCTGAAGGGAAAGAAAATCAAGACATCAGCTTCATATTTCCTCTTCCATTCAGAGAGATGAACTTAAAGGAGAAAGAAAGACAAAGTTTAAAAGACCTCATAACTCAGTTTTTCCCTGAGACTAAAGGACTGAACCTTACAAGAAACACACGATTCAAAGTCCTGTTCATCCTTGATGGATTGGATGAATGTCGTCTTCCTCTGAACTTTGCTGGTAATGAGACGTGTGGTGATGTATCTTCAGCAGTCTCTCTGGATGTTCTCCTGACGAACCTCATCAAGGGAAATCTGCTTCCTTCTGCTCTCATCTGGATCACCAGCAGACCAGCAGCTGCCAGTAAGATTCCTGCTGACTGTATCGACCGGCTGACAGAGATACGAGGATTCAATGATGCCCAAAAGGAGGAGTACTTCAGAAAGAGACTCACAGATCAGAATCAGGCCAGAGAAATCATTGATCACATTAAACAGTCAAAGAGTCTCTTTATTATGTGCCACATCCCAGTCTTCTGCTGGATTTCAGCCACTGTTCTCCAGAACATACTGAAACTGAAACACAGGGCTCATGCTGAAACACTGCAGGAATCTCCCAAGACTCTGACACAGATGTACACACACTTTCTCCGCTTTCAGATCCAGCAGAGCAGAAGAAAGTATGATGGAGAAAACACAGCAGATGTCTCCTGGGATCCAAAGCTCATCCTTTCACTGGGTAAACTGGCCTTCCAGCAGCTGGACAGAAACAATGTGATCTTCTATGAGAGCGATCTGAAAGACTGTGGCATTGACGTCTATAAGGCATCGGTGTACTCAGGCATGTGTACCCAGATCTTTAAGGAGGAGACGGGAATCATTCTTGGTACCATGTACTGCTTTCTTCACTTGAGCATTCAGGAGTTCATTGCAGCCCTTTATCAACATCTGATTCTAGACAGCGACAAGAAGCATGGATTGTTTTTACAGATAAGCAAAAATAAAGGCGTGACCGATTTCCTGAAGACAGCAGTAGACAAGGCTCTGGAAAGTGAGAATGGACATCTGGACCTTTACCTTCGCTTCCTTCTCAGTCTGTCACTCCAGTCCAATCGACAACTCTTACGAGGCCTGTTGACACAGCAGGATGACAGAGACCAGAGCAAAAAGAAAATAATTGCCTACATCAAGCAGAAACTTGAAGGGAATCTGTCTCCAGAGAGATCCATCAATCTGTTCTACTGTCTGAATGAACTGAACGATCAAACTCTGCTGAAAGAGATTCAGTCTCACCTCAGTAGTGGAAGTCTGTCATCTGCTCGCCTTTCACCTGCCCAGTGGTCTGCTCTGGTCTTTGTGTTGTTGACCTCAGAGGAGGAGCTGGAGGAGTTTGAGCTTCACAAATTCCAGAGATCAGACGAGTGTCTCATCAGACTATCAGCAGTCATCAAAACCTCCAAAAGAGCCTTGTAAGTCCTTATTTCTTTCATCTAAGAAATAGACATTAGCTGATATTAAATAATACAATACATAATTTTAATGAACATACACAATATTGATATTGTCGGCACTTTAAAATACTGTGAATAATTGATTATTATTTAATATTTCATTTCATTAATTACTCATTAAGAGTCAAAAATATGCTCGAGGAACACTCCTGATGGACATAGATCTGGGAAGTGGCAGGGCTCTATATATATATATATATATATATATATATATATATATATATATATATATATATATATATATATATATATATATATGAGAGTATATACATGTGTGTGTGTGTGTGTGTGTGTGTGTGTGTGTATATATGACAGCGCTCTATATAAATATATAAACAAAAGTCCATAGATGGGAGGGGGCCGTGAAGACTCCTGCGGAAACAGCCAAGGGTGGCGAGGGATGACGAGGGGGCTTGGATGCAATTCCAATTAACTACTTGACTGGTGGAGAAACAAAGTCTAGAAGTAAGGAAAAAGAGCAGGGAATGTGGCTGGGTCATGCCCTCTCCCTTGAGTAGATGTGGGTTGATGGCTGGCGAGAGTCATCTGGGCTTCTTTGAGGTGCCTTTGGCTAAGACGTATGTATGTCTTGAAGGCATCGGATGACTACCTTCCCAGAGTCTGGATTTGTTGTTGTAAAAGCCCTTTGTGTTTATGTGTTTTATTAAGGCTGAAAACAGCATTGATACGTTTAGGGCCGTATCTGAGTCCACTAGGTACTTTCAGAGGTGTATCCAACTCTGTGAGCTCATAAACTGACTGAGCCGAGCCCAGTTTGATGAACTTTTTCTTAGTGTCGGCTGGAAGATTTCCCCCAGGACTCCCAACATGAGGAGTAGGTCACAATCACGCCCCCACAAGAGGAAGCTTCTGATTGGTTAACCCTCTGGGGTCTAAGGGGGTTTTGGGCTCTGCAGAAGTTTGGACATGCACTGACATTTGTGTTGTTTTCAGTATCTTAAAAACATATTAATGGCTAAAGTGTGATAACACTGTAAACAGCACAAGTTAGGCTACAATAATACCTAAGCAGCATGTTTGTATGTGTTTGTGTTTTTGAGAAAGAAACATTTATGCGTGGTTAGTGAAAAACTAAAATTTTGAAGTCACTGAAAGGCCATGAAACACACAGAGAACATTTGTGCACAAGACTTTTGAGAACTGGATCTTGTAGTCTAGTGTTTTTGCTTCAAAATGATGTGAGAATCATCTTGTTCACTTCCTCACAGAAAACAATATAATGAATTAAAATTTCTAAGTCACTTTTTAAGTGAAATTGGTTTATGCGAGAAGGCGTGAACTATCATTACTATGCAGTGAGTCACACCTGAGAAGACAAAGACCTGCATAATGAGCTGAATAATGAGCCATCAGACGGGTATATGACTAGGAGGGAAGAGTTTCAAGAAGGAATCAGAGAAAAGTTTATATACTTTTTGTTTGCATGTTTATTTAAAATATATTATTCACACAAAATAACTGGAGATACACTTGTGAGAGTCAGTACACTGAATAAAACTCTGCAAACTGTTAAACTTACACATAGCAAATCTACTGATTTATTTATTTATTTATTTATTTAGTAAATGAAGAGTTTAGTTGCAAAAGGAGATATTTCCATTTTAAGAAATGTTGGTTATTTGACATTATTATTTACGACATCAACAGTCAAGTTCATTCACAATTTTATACATTAAACTATTAAGCTCAGTGAAGTCCAGGAACACAATATTCTTCAAACCCAGGATATTTTTTATTTAACTTTATGTCTTTAAATAGTTTATAAATAAGTCATAAATCATGCCAAAATGCAACATATTATCTCAACATTGTCAAACATCTTAAATTGGTTAAAAAAACAATACATCATTAATATATGGAATAGTATATACAAAGATTGATTAATAATAATACGATTCTGAGTTAGTTTTGGTATTCTGATATTAGAGCAATGTTATTTTAAAGAATGATGATTAATCCATATGCGATAATGAAATCTTTTTTCAGCAGCTTTTGGCGCAAGTGATCATCCTCTCACTCGGTATTCACAGTAATTATTTAAAGAATAAACTTACAAAGGACACTTAGAAATGTAGTCTTGCAGACAGGTATCCTGTGATGGGGAGCAGCGCAGGAAAAAGGCAGTATTTTAGGCAGGTAAATAGAATGCCCTTGTGTCAATGATCTGTTTGCTCAATAAAGAAAGACAGAGTTTCTTCATCCTGCAAAGTTGGATCAGCTATGATGGGGTGGAATGTGGGATTGAAATGTTGATGTTACAGTAGGTGAGAGTTCAAAGTGGCTATTAACGCCGCGGCTGGTACCGCCGCCGTTTGAAATAGGTGCCGCTCTGTTTTTAGTGTATGACCGCAGTTTGTGAATGAGCCGCCAGGGGGCGCAAAGGGACGGGATGCGAACGGACAGAAATAGATCATACAGCTACTGTGCTTGTAAATGATATTAAACAATAAGTCAAAGCATTATAATTCCTTCATTAATCATTTAAAATTTGTTAACACGCTTTATTGTAAACTTTTTAAGTGCAAAGAGGATTCGTTTTGGAAAATAGAATTGAAGAAGTAAAAGACAACTAAAATGAAAGCACAAACATTTAGTACAAATAAGTAGTCTTAAATAAATAAATAAATAAATAAATAAATAAATAAATAAAGCAGCCTAAATATAGAAAGATGTTCAGTGTTTGCTATTTTGATAGGACTAAGACAAGACATTTTCATTTATGTTTTATTTCTGTTTTTATTTCCATTTTCGTTGTTGATTATATTTTACTATCTTATTTATGTCTCAACAATTGTACATAAACGAATAATAAACGAATAATGAAAATAAATGAATAATGAAAATAGGCCTAAATAAATTATTTATTTAAAGACATTGCCGTACAGTACGTGAAACACTGAGAAAAATAAATTGACCTACCTTAAGCAGATCACTAAAAGTATAATAAAATTATTTTTGCCGCAGGACATAAATTAAGTCTTGCAGGTTTATTTTTAATAATTTAGTTTCAGTTCTGTTCATTTTTTTTTCAAAACGTCAATGTTCTCCTTTAAAGTAGCTATAACTGTTGTTTTGTTTTTTTTTTGTTTTTTTTTTTACTTATGGCTCAGTATGTTTTGTATTTTAACTTCATATTCAGTCACCTTGCAAATGTGTGTGAAATATAATGCCGCATAACCGCGGAAAAAGAAGAAAAAACTGTCGAAGGTTAGAGCTAATTCATCAAAATAAGCTATATTAAAATACAACATTTATGTTAATACAGGCAGAGTGTGAACAAACTCAAGGCTAAGATATGCGCTTGCCTTTTAATGCATTTGCGGCCTTTAGGCTACAGGCAACTATGTATAATAATGTTTTTTTTTTCTTGTTTTTTTTTTTGTATGGTAAAGGACAATACACATTATGTTATTGATGTAAACTTAGGCTAAAACTTACCATTGATAAACGTGACCTACCTCAAGCAGATCACTTAAAGTATAAAAAAATAAAGTAGGCTATATATATATATTCTTAATAAACTTCACAGCCACAAATATAAAAACAACTTGTATTAAAACTGGGCGAGGATTAGAAAGAATACGATGCTTGTTATATATAATTTAAATTTTGATTCCAATTTCTGCAAGCACATTTTTTCACTCGCTACTCTGCCAGAAACTTCGCCGCCGGAGAGCACCTCAATAATGTAAACATTTGTTTAAAGATGGAGCGCAAGATGTGCCGAGTGGCAACATGTGAAGAACGATGGCAAAGCTAAGTGTGATTATTGTAATAAACTAAGTTATAAAGCAGAGTCCCGACCAACAGGACTAAGCATATGCGGTTGGCTCATTCTTCACGAATATAGAATTAAAATAATGGCGCGTTAGGTTCACTAAGCAGCGCATTCTCTCCGCCTCATCGTTTAACCAGCGGGACACGCTGCTGAAGCAGGAGAGACACTCCGTCATTCATAATCTTAGCTGATGTATCGGAGTCGAAAGAATATATCAAAGAGGAATTTTCTTTTAACAGTCCCGATATGTTTAATCTTTTTATTTTATTTTTTTTTTCGTGTCATTTCTCTTCAGCAAATTAGATATTTTTTAAAGCTGCTTGATTCTTTTAAAACCGAAAGCAGGGCCCATAGTGTTTTTCCATAAGATACTCCTTTATGAATGTTTTAATTTTTTTATTAAAGTTTTTAATGTGCTTTTTGATAGTTTTATTTTATTTCAAGCAGCATCTAAATGCGAATTTATCCTCAAAACTTGGCATGAGAGCGATGCAAGTCATGTGTGGCATAATTGCCTTTTTTCCCTGCGCGTGCGAGATCAATTTCTGATCTTTTTGCAACTAAAATGAAAGCATAAACATTCAGTACAAATAAGTAGTCTTAAATAAATAAATAAATAAATAAATAAATAAATAAATAAATAAATAAATAAAGCAGTCTTTTAACCTAAATATAGAGAGATGTTCAGTGTTTGCTATTTTGACAGGACTAAGACAAGACATTTTCATTTATGTTTTTATTTCTGTTTTTACTTAAATTTTCGTTGTTGATTATAGTTTACTATCTCATTTTATGTCTCAACAATTATAGATAATAATAAACGAATAATGAAAATTAATGAATAATGAAAATAGGCCTAGATATATTATTTATTTAAAGACATTGCCGACATTGAGCTTAAGTTGAATGCAGCTTCATCAAAAGCAGAAAAAAATAAAATAATTTGACCTATTTTAAGCAGATTATAATAAAAATATTTTTGCCGCAGGACATAAATTAAGTCTAGCAGGTTTGTTTTTTTAATACTTTAGTTTCAGTTCAGTTTTTTTTTTCAAAACGTCAATGTTCTCCTTTAAAGTAGCTATAACTGTTGTTTTGTTTTGTTTTTTTACTTAATGGCTCAGTATGTTTTGTATTTGAATTTGACGCGTCAGAAAAA